CTTATTTTATTTTATTTTTATTAAATATAGAATTTTAAAATACAATACCAATTTTTATTTTTTTTTGTTTTTTTGTTTTTAAAAAAACTAGAAGAAAATTTTCTAACATTTCAAAGTATCAGAGATAACATATCAGTTTTTATTTGTCTATTTTAGCAAAAGACATGTATGTAAAAGCTCAAATTTATTAGGTTTTGTTATCTTAAAAATTAAAATTAAAATTAAAAAAAATCTCATAAATCAGATAGGAGTTTTATTAGACTTCAATATTCTGATACCATGGATATTGTTGGTATTATTTTTCATAATTAAGTATGTACAATTTTAAAAATGAAAACAAACTATAATATGATTTTAATTTTCTATCTTAATTACAGAATATTCTCTGATTTTTTATGATTAAAAAGATATAAATGGATTTTAAAATTTTTACTGAGACATAGGCTGCTTTAAACATAAATGCGTTACAGTTTGATTTCTGCAGAGTTTATCAAAACTGATACATGAATTACTTTTCAAATACAAAACTGAAAAGTGACAGTGATGAAATTAGTGTGGCCCCCCTCCCTCTGCTTCTAATTAGCAAGGGAGTAATTAGAAGAAATTACTAAATTCTACTTTTCTACACGTTTTTATTTTTATTTTTATTTTTTCTTTCTGAGCCATGGCAAGCACTCTGCCTTGGGGGAGGGAATGTACTCCAACATGTTTAAACTGCACAGGATTTAATGCATCTTCTCCCTGCCATCACCCTTTTATTGTACTTATTTTTACTTTATGTTTTTCATTGTTGCATTCACACAGCCTTTGCACACTTTTTATGACTGTCCTTTTCCTGAATACCCATTTCTATTATAGTTTTAAAGTAGGCCCCATGAGTATCACCACATTATCCATTATTCTACAACTGGAAATATCATGATGGATGGTTGATTGGCGTAACTATTGATGGATGGCCTCATGACAACAACACATAACCTCATAAATAAAATGTTTTAAATCGTACAAGTTAGATTACCCATTTCCAATAACTTAAGCATTTCAGTATATATTTGGTAGGTGTAAAAATGAAAAAGAAAAGAAAAGAAAAGAACAGAACTATGCCCATGGCGAGAAATAGAAATCAAGACAATTCTCTGTGTTTTCACACAATTTGGCCCAAAAATGGAATTTACATAAATGTTTTTAGCTGGAGATTTTCTTTGATCCATTTTGGACATATAGGCTTACCTCATTCTGACCAGTGGTGGATTACGAAACCAAGAATCCAACTTTTATAAAACTGTGATTTGTAGTTGTAAGTAATCCACCATTCTTCCTTGTTTTTGCTCATCTCCAAACAATATTTCACACATCTTCCATCTTCCTATCCCCTTCCAACAAATCTGTGATTTGCTAATGTATAATCAATCGCTGCATATGAGCAACTCCACTAATGCAAAAATTAATTTTTGACAGTTTACACATACCAATTTCGAGTACAATGAATTGTTTATATTGCTCACAATCTAACATCATTTTTTCTATGCCCCCAACCTATTTTCAACCACAAAATATCATAATTAGACAACAATAGGTTGCTAGCCTAGCAAAAATACTCCACCGTATAGGTTAGAAATGGATGAGATCATGCTTAACCACACCATGACATCTTTAAACATTTGTGTTCCTACTTAGCTTATTGTATTAAGAAATTCCAAAATTGGGAAGTATTGGACCTGAATGAAGATTTTTTAAAAAAAAATGAAAATTATGTAAAATAGGATGTGCATTTTGACGAGATGTTTAACAAATTTTAGTTTTTTTATGCTATTTGTGTTTGAAGTTTGAAATTAGGATAATTTTGTATAAATAAAAAGCTTAGTTGTAGGTCCATAATCATTTCATGAATTTAGATTATGAAGGAATGAATAAATCTATCACTGAATTTTTAATGTCTTTGCAATGATCTTCAATGTGATGATATATCAATGCAGCAATCAAATAAACTAATTCTACAACACATGGTTTTAGCTTATAATTCATAGATAAAATACAAGAAATTGGAATAAATCTACAGATACACTCTTGATACTTGGTGGTTTAAAAAAAAAAAAAACATATAGTATACAGAAATGTGATTCGTCATGACATTAATATGAATTTTAATAATATTCTGTTTCTATACAAATATATTTGTATGTAAGTGAGTATATATATATATACATACTCACTTACATATATATATATATATATATATATATATTTTCACATACATGTTTATTCACTATTAGGATGTAATATACGAAATTTATTAAATTACAAATAAAGTATGTTAAAGTATTATTAATATTAACATAACATTCTATTCAAAGAATCCAAAAATTTATACCAAACATCATCTTCATGTATCATGTATTATTACAAATCAATTTATTTTAAGGTGATTGTGCTTGAATTATTTTAATATTTTTCATAATTTTACCAAAATATTAGTAAATAATAAAATTATATATATATATATATATAATAAAAAAAATTGAGTCAAACTATGGTTTTTAATATTGCTATCATTCTTATAACAAGTAGGAAGTATTGTACAATTAAAATCTTGCTATTAAAATTCCTAAAAGATGTTATAATAAAAATGAGGGTAAATTTTATGCTTAGAAATGAGAATATTTATGTTAAATTTTATTATTTTATTACTTTTTGTGGAAAATAGTCATTTGGCATGTGAACCACAATGCTGCATACCAAAGTGTGATTAATTGAAATGCACAAGTTTACAATGTGGCAATAAATAGAGAAATTTAATCTTGTTTTACTCAATTACAAAATGAATTGGAATAAAATCCTTGTGCGTACAGACCAAGCTTAACTATTCTTTACTTTTAAAAAAAAAACAAACAAACAAACAAACAAAACAAAACAAACATGGGCTTTCAAGGCCACATGTTAAGACATGGCATGAAGCCATGTATATTTAGATGGTTTCTATCCATTAAACTCACAATGGTTTTTAAGATATCATTACAAGTATATATTCTAATCATTTTCATTTTATGGCACAGCATATCTGATATAGACACCTTCAGTTTTTTAAAATAATAAATAATAGTAATTTATTGATTGTATGCATGTTTCATGAAAGTACTTTTGTAGTAACAATATTTATTCAAATATTTTTAATTAAAAAAACTAACATAATTAAAAAATATATTTTTTGATTTTTTTCTATATACCACCTCTCGAGATGGACTCAAAATGATTTTGGGCAACAAAATTGTTAATGCAATGTGGGAAAAGAAAAAAAATACATTCCACTTATCTTTTTCCCTTAGAAAATTTGAAGAAATTTAAAAATAATAATAAAACCAACTAAGAGTTCTCAATTCCAACCCACGAAAAGATTAAAAGGTTATGACCTCTTGCCTTCTCCCTCAAGTAAATAAATAGACCCCCTCACAGTCATTACATTCATTAAAAAGTCAAGCAAATATTAAATTATAAAGGCAATTCCATGAACGAATTGATGAACGAACGAACGAACGAACGAACGAAAAATGGATGAAAACCAACTAACCAACAAACGAACAGATAGATGATGACGCATTGAATGACGTGAAAATGACGAACGACCGCATGGCTTACGGCGTCATTGATGCCACCGCGAGGGGACGTCAGCGACTTCTGCGGCGGCTACTGCGGCTGGAGTCCGCTGTAGTCGCTGCACGTCGTCAGGCCGAGGGATTGATTGCCGCTCAACGATCGAGAGGGAGGATGTCAACTTGATTCGTAGCCAGAGCAGAAGCAGCAGCTGCAATTGTGCGCGGATGCCCCCAACGCCACCATCGTCGCAATCGTCAAACTCCAAGAGAGTCCAATCCCGACAGTCCCCACTGGGATCCAACCCACCACTCGCAAAGAGCTCCTTCCGAAGTTGCAGCAATGCTGTCACCGAAGTGCATTGCAGATCCTTGCGTTTCAATGCAGCTTCATCGGCTGCCGTTCGATCACAATCGCCGTGCCAGGCCCAGAGAAATCTGTTAACTGTTGAGTTTCAGCACCATTAAGCCGACGTTTCTCTTTGCATTTACACAGCTTCGGATGTCTTGTCCCGTATCCAGTGGGACAATGTGCAAGGTGTGTTGGGCCTGCTTCTGCGGTCGTGGTCAGGAAGCGGGATCAGCTGACCACAAATTACGCGCGAATCATTGCCACGAGGTTCCACCATTCATGAGTAACAGTGTATCTGCCATGCTTCCGACACCATGTGGCAGCCGGTGGTAATAGTAACTTAATCACTTATTAATTGCGACGCTGCAAGCTAATCTACACTTCCGCTCCGTGGTAATACGCTGGTTTCATCTGTAGCGGGATGTTGAGTGATTTCCATGATCCAAGGTGAGGTTGTACAGAGTGAGTTTATAGACCTGATGTGTCATTAAAGCTTCTGAGACCTGCACACACTACTCCCTGCCAGCTCCACTCATCGATCCCACTCGGTTGCTCCACTGGCACTTGTTGCAAATGCTCCCTCCAGCTGGGGTGGTAATGTTTACACTCGATGCGAAAATAATAAAAAAGTTGATTCATGAAAGTCACTACAGGGGGGCTCAACTTTGGAATGAGAATAACACCACAGCGACCTAGAACATACGACGAATAATCGTTGTAGGAGTAACAGGGACAGTTGAGGATCATTACGAGGATCGCCGCGACAAAACTTTTCCAGCTGGAAGACCTTGTGAATTTCATAAAATTTCCCAACTCGTTGATGCACAAAAGCTTCGTGAAGGAATCGTAGCCACTCGTAGAGCGGAGACAAGGATTGAAGTTACTCGATGCTATACTAGTCTTACCATGATGGTTTTTTCTCCAGGCCTTTGCCAAGGTCTTCGGCGCATTATTTTCGGGTGCTGAGAGTTCATGCTTAGCGGCAGCATCCATCAATTTTGCTCGGATCAGCTGTGAGGCGGTTAGATGACTCAGTGGGCTTCCCAAGACATTGACAGCTTGTGGCCTCTTTCTGTTGCAGAGGTAAAATCGTCCTTTCCGAGATGAGACTGTTGTACTCTCACCTGTACAGCTGCTCGTATTATTGCCGCCAGGAATTTCCACTGCAATTACGCCCTCATGACTTCAATATCACCTACACAAATAGCTCATCCCATCCCCCCTTGGTCATTACTATCAGAGCAACTTACAATTCCAGGTACTCTGATCGGTTGACAGGTTGAGCTGCAGCACAGTGCACATCGACGTACGTCCCGCCATTAACCACTTGGCGCTCTCTCAGCACCTCCTGGTTCACCAGTTTTCCGGGGTGGATCGATATTTTCCCTTGCTCTCCTCCGTTGCGTACAACCTCGATCGAACCCATCGCTTCGGGAGTATTCACTTGTCACCACGCGGATGCTTCACTTACCTTTGTTCGGCGCTTTGAGAGAGATCTCATCAGGAAGAACGTAGCCAGCTCAATATTACTCGTCATTCTCTGTCATTGTCGAGGAACCGTTTGGTTGACCTGCAGCTAAAATCGGTTGGTTTAATCGAGCTCCTGAATTGAGCTTATTGGTTCTGCCCGTAAAGCAGTCTTTGCCTTTGGTTGCTGTGGCTTGAAGAGTCTCAACCGCACTTCGACAATGCGTTCCTTGCATACAATGGGGTCCGACAACAACAAAAAAAAATCACACAACTAAGCTGGTGTGACTTCTCATTCTGTCAGTGAGGTACACGTACATGAATTTATAACCTGAGGTCACTTCACATTCCCTCCAGCTCTGTGGGTACATCGCTAAAAACGCGTGCCTGATGTCGCCTTTCCATTGACGCAAGATATTTGGTGCACGTATATATGGATATGGGTCATTGTGTCTGTGGAACTCAGGGTATAGAGTCGTAGGTTTGATCAGGGACTGTAACGGATGAGCGCGGGCTGAGCTTCACTGGCGAGGCTTCTATGAGCCTTGTACCTGAGTACTAAAGATTTGTCTTGGAACCTTCAATCGTATTTTCGCAATCATCTCTTGATACTCTCAGAACTTTTCTTTCGTCTGCGGCCAAAGAGTCCCGCAATAGTCTTTGGCTGCCAGTGTGGGAAAGGGCAGTTCTTCCTGCCGGCAGCTCAGATCGGCTTCACGTGAACTGAACATGGGAGAACAGGCTGCCGTCCTGGCTGAATGGCCATGGGAGTCACTCGGGAATTACAAGGTTAGCGAGAAGCATCCAATTCATGACTGTAGTTATTATCCAACCTGAATTCTTTGAATTTATCAGATCTAGAAATGTCATGAGACCCGGAAGATATTTGTTACGGTACTGTGGACCAAACGTAACCGTTTTTTTTTTCTCTCATTTTCTTCGTTTAGAATTGATGGGTTGTGTATTTTGATGCAGTATTGGTTTTACGCGCCATTTCTTTTCAAATTGTTCCAGTCCTACTTCCTCGGAGTTCGTGCCGCGGGGGACACCTGGTATTTCTACATGTTGGTCCTGATGATTGGGCGGTACGCGGTGCAACAATTCTGGAACACACTCACGCGTCTGCACTCCTTGGTGCAAAAATACGAAATACATGCATATGCAGTGGGGTTTGAACAAATTGACAGAGAGTTTCATTCGTAAGTTTTTCAACTTCACGCCACTAACTTTGTGAGCAGTTTGGAACGAACTTCTGCAACCTCTGCACATCACACATGCGAGGCCTGTCGGTACAACTGAAGTACCTACTGTGTAGTCATGGTATGAGCTTGAAATGAAGACCGAGTATAATCTGATGGTTTGTTCGGTGCGTACTTCTACAGAGACAACCACATAATGCTGCAGTTTCTTTTCATTTCTCTAGCTCATGCATGGTTCCCGGGACTTCGCAATATGCCAAACTGGAATGCACAAGGTCTTCTGTGGGTGATCCTATTCCACGCTGGTGTCACTGAGCCTGTCTACTACTGGATGCACCGGGCTTTCCACACTGACAGTCTTTACAAGAAATACCACTCTCTCCACCATCTTTCTGTAGTCCCTGAACCGCCCACAGGTAACTTACCACCTCTATCAAAATGTCTTGAAAGAAACGTTGAGTGAAATTCCACTTTGAAATACATTACTAAAGTTCCTCGTAATGTACTACCATACTGAATGACGGCAGTTGGATCGGATTGGAAATGCAGGATTTGTTACCACCATGTTAGAGCAGGGGCTCCAGTCTATTCTGGTGTGTATTCCCATTGTGGGAGCGGCAGCCATGGGCACCGCCTCCATGGGTTTAGTTTTCGTGTATGTGCTCACTTTTGACTTCCTCAAATGCTGGGGTCACAGCAATGTTGAGTTTGTGCCAGCCTGGTTCCGAAACCTCCCTGGGGTGAAGTACCTGCTATACACACCCTCGTGAGTGCTTGCCCCTGATTCTCATCTAATTAGCCCTTCTCTAGTTAAGTTATTAAATTATCAACTTCATTTAATGTGATAGTCGAAGAAGGTTTTGAGTGTTCAATTCTGGATCAGAAACTTGTTATTCAGGCGAAAAGTATGAAGAAAAAGAACCTGAAGTGTAGTTTATTTTCTGCAGGTACCATTCACTCCATCATACAGAACAGAAAAGCAACTTCTGCCTCTTCATGCCAATAAACGACTACCTGGGTGGAACTGTCGACCCTAAAACTGAATCATACCATGCTGAGTTAAGAAAAGGTACGACATTGTAGGATAATGGTATGGAAGATTGAATTACACTTCACCCGATCACTATCTTCTATAATTCATATGTTCCTGCTTTCAGATTTTAGATTGATCTCAAATGACGTCCTAGAATTTTTGAACCATTTTGAGGTTGGACGATTAACTCCTGGAGTTGGTGGAGATTTTTCACCGATGCTGGATATTCGTGTGGGTTGCTCTTCTTTCTCCGCTCACATTGATTCTCATCTGCCCTCAATATTGCGCAGAGAAACCAGACGAGGTGCCCGATTTCGTATTTCTGGCGCACTGCATCGACGTCCTCTCCTCGTTGCAAGTGTCCTTTTGTTTTCGGACTGCCGCAGCTCATCCTTACACGTGCCACTGGTTCCTGTGGCCGCTGTGGCCACTTACTCTTATCTTTCTATTTGTCTTCTGGATCGTTGCTGACGTTTTTGTCGCGCACAAGTACTACCTCAACAAGCTCAAGTGCATGGCCTGGATTGTCCCTTGTCACGGTTTTCAGGTCCCAATCCTCCCCTGTGATCAATGATATTGTTTATGGCCGAATGATGCTATACAACGAACTAAATGTCATTTGATGCCATGAATTGTAAGAATATCAGTCGTATGAACTCAGGCCACATAATTGAGATCAGAAATATTGATTTTGTTTTGAAGTTGCAGGGATTGTATTGAAACTACGATTGCAATTTTCCGAGTCTGACAACTGTGATCATGTTGTTTGCAGTATTTTTTACCTTTTGGGCTGGACCGCATAAACAAGTTCATCGAGAATTCCATTCTTGAAGCGGACGAGAAAGGAGTGAAGGTTCTGAGCCTTGCTGCACTCAACAAGGTAAGTCTCGTGCTCATCCTTTTGTAACAAATAGTCCGGGGCACAGAAGCCACACTCCAAAAAGTTGAAGAAACTCAGTAGAGGGAGGGTATCCTCTCTTACACTGAAGTTATTGCTACTTGATATGTTTCTAACACTACTTTTATAAATGCAGAATGAATCGCTGAATGGCGGAGGCTTGCTCTTTGTGAAGAAACATCCCAATTTGAGGGTGCGCGTGGTACATGGAAACACGCTCACTGCGGCAGTCATCATCAAAACTTTACCTTCGGATGTGAAGGAAGTATTCATGAACGGAGCGACCTCCAAACTGGGCCGCGCCATCGCGCTCTACCTTTGCTCTCGCGGCATCAGAGTGATGGTAAGCAATAATCCTTACCTGTTGAATTCAAATGTACTCACCAAGAGTGTGATGATCCATCAAGTCTCATCTTAACTGAACCTTGACAGCCAGTTGTCGCAATTCTCTTAATTCAAATTTATGCGCGTTAATTCCCTTCCAACCATCTAGAAGCAGAACTTTGAGCATTGACACTGTGTGCGGTTTGCAGATGCTCACGACTTCCAAGGACCGTTTCGACACCATTCAGAGAGAGGCTCCGGGTGAATTCAAAAACAACCTCATCCATGTCACAAAATACCAGGCCGGGAGCAAATGCAAGGTTTGTAGTCTCTCCATGATCTTGTCTAGGTGATCACAGTTTCAGTTTTTTCCTTCATGGCAATGGACATTCATCCAATTTTGAATCTACTGTTTATGACTTTCTGTCGGCGTTGCTTTTCCAGACATGGATAGTGGGGAAGTGGACATGGCAAAAGGATCAGCAATGGGCGCCTCCGGGAACCCACTTCCACCAGTTCGTTGTGCCTGCCATTGGCGAGTGGCGGAAGGACTGCACCTACGGAAGGCTTGCAGGAATGAAGCTGCCAGACAGGGGCGTGAAGGGATTGAGGACCTGCGAGATGAACATGGAGAGAAGGGCTGTGCATGCATGCCACGCCGGGGGCCTCGTCCACGCCCTGGAGGGGTGGACTCACCACGAGGTGGGTGCCATCGATGTAGACCGCATTGATGTTGTGTGGGCCGCGGCGATGCGACATGGATTTGCTGCAATCGCTTGAGCAGTGTATACAGTTCCAGTTCATTGAAGGTGACAGATTGATGATTCAGCTTGGAGTGATCTCACGAGGTTCGTGGAGATGAATGTGTGTACAATCATCCGTCACCAAGTAGTAACAGCATTGTAGTGGATAATACGAGAAGGACGGCCGAAGGCCTACTGAAAGATATTTGTAGCTTTCCCTCAATTAGTATTCTTTACAATCGCATCGGACATTTTCATTGAATTTAATGATCATTTCAATTCATGTTGACACAGACCTAGGTATGGATTTTAGGGAGGCTTAACAAAATGAAAGCATCAGCTCAAGGCACTGATGTTTTAGAGCCAGAATGGGCCATCTATCTTAAAAGATGATGAGCCATTTTTTAAGGCTGCAAGCCATTCAAATATGTTAATAAATTACACTTCCTTGTTTTTTTTTTTTTTTTTTTTTTTTAAATTTGAATTTGAATTTAAATTTGCATTTCATGAACTATAGTCTGTCGAGAACACATCGTAATAAATTCCAACACGGAAATATCTACATCATTTTCTCGCCCATCTCATGCGTTCAAAACCTCTGATCATTGACTGAACTCTCAATGGCCTAGTTCCAACATTCCGTCACTAGTAAAGTGTCTGACGCAGTGTATCAGTCAGGAAAGCAGCCCATGTACCAACTTGACGTGCAGGAGATTGATCAGCTTCTAACGAAGAATCTTTTAACTTACAATGAAAAATTCTTTCAAGCTGCTGGAAACTGGGCTGGAAGCTTCTGCACAGGGTCTGAATGCTGGTTGATCTACAAAGTGTCGGCTTTCACTGGACATTGGACTGGCAATGGGTTGTTGGTATGATGAAGGCGGCCTTGAATGGGGTGAGGAAGGAGTTGGTGAGTGTGGGAGCCTTGATCTGGTGACAAGGTGACAAAGTGTACATGACAAGTTCGAGGTGACTTTTTCCTCCCAATGGCGTCAGTTCGCCAGAGCAGCCGTACCCCTCTCAGCTGGAAGCCAGTCTCTCTTGCATTCTGTTCTTGGGTAGTTTGATGTTCGTAACACACCCTCCGCTTTATTTCGCTTATATGGTGTGTGTGAGTCATGATCCAGAGCACAAGCACCACTTGCATCGATTGCCGCACGTTTGCTGCGCCTCTCCGTTGTCACTTCCTTAAGGGGTTTTCACATCCTTGTAATATCCTTTTCTTCCCCTATTCATACGTCGGGAAATGAAAAATAAAAGAAGAAATAAAAAATCTTAGAAATTACCCGAATGAAGAATGAATGTGTGAGAAGCAATAGATTGCTCAAAAATAGTTCGAGGAAGGCGCACACCACACAAATTCAACTCTAATGATGTGTGATGCCCTGATCTGAGCAGCTCGATAGACAGGTTTCTTATGAAATCAGTTTTAGGATTTAAAACCTGTGGGATTTTCCATGTGGCGCATGTTTTTCTCTTCGACGCCTCTGTTACTCTTCCTCTGAGGAATAAGATATATCTTCACAGTGTTCAGTCCCTGCAATAGCCGGCCTCTGGCAGGGCCCTACATTTTTAAATTGACAAACTTTTACGGCGCCGATTTCCCCAAATCCCACATCTATGAATTTTGTTGTTTCACCACGAGAATTTCCTGCTGCTTCTGCTTCCATCGGCGTCGAGGAAGGTGGTGATTTGAGTTGGGGGGACGTCATCGGTGAATGTTCTTCACCAGAAGTTGAGGATTTTTCGATATCAGATAAACGTGGAGGCGTCTCAATTTTCCGAGATGATGTGAGGTTTCTGGAAATTCCAGAGCTCAGACCCTCAGGTTTTGCATTTGGCGACGCTACGGGTGGTTGAGTAGGACCTTTTCCAGGTGACAATGGCATATCGCAAGAGACAGACTTATGGAATTCTTGGGTCAATTGCGGTTCAGCACTCTGTGGACATAGAATTCAATGTGCATGAGTATTCAACTTCTAATTCAGATATAATGAACTCGATAAGACAAATTACAGAAGAAAATGAATTCGAAACAGGTTTAAGGGCACTCACAAATAAAAGCCTTGAGTTAAAAAAAATCGAGGCAAAGAAATCTATAAATCTCAAAGATGGACAATGCTGAACGCTGGGAATGTGTACCGCAACGGTTATGGAGTTGTTGTTGGATGCCTCTTTGGAACCTTGTGAGGCAGTGAGATTGTCGGTTACAGTGATTGCCAGATGAATTCTACCAGTCTTCACTTTTTCGAGTGGTAGCCAAAAATCATGTCGTTTTCCATCGCGGTATTGACTGATCTCTACTTCACAATGTCTGCACACCATCGGAAAACAGGAAGTAAAGGACCAGTGATTCGTGAACTTCCTAAAAATGGGTCTCATACATCATGTCACAGCAAGTGAGCATATCTGCAGCCCTTCGAGAAGTTAGAAATGTGCTGTCAGATATGAAACCGAATGAACAATGTCTCGAAGTGTATTCAAATCCCAACTGACGTCAAAGTAAATGGTAATTAATAGGTTCTGTGCATTCGCCATCAACGAAATAACCAACTGTGACTGAGAGGGTTTAGATCTACCCCAGCTTATCATCAAATATGGGATCCTTATCACGCACTATCAGAAGAATTGTATTCGGTGGCTGCCCACTTGGAATCATGAAATTCAAGGTCTCGTTCCATGTAGGATTCAATGTTTTCCACTTCACCTTTGTTTTCCCCCGCTGATTTCCAAACCCGACTTTTACATAAGGGTCAGAGTAACCTACACAGAACAAAGCGAAGATAGAAGTCCATTGTTCATAATTCGTCAATCAGATAAGCCACCTGTAGATCTTGACCTGAAATTATAGCCGAGGTAAGTGCATACAAGTACATGCAGAGATTGTTAACAGTATTATTTGAGATGCCACTATGAAGTAGCCTTGGACACGCTCTAATTTTATAAATTGCTGACTAGATGATTACTTTGGAAAGCAGACAGACTCCAACGATGGAAAGAAAGAGATAGAATACCATTGATATCTCCTACTCGAAGATCCTTAGCTTCAAGTACTTCTAGAACGACATTCGTCTTTGGAGAGTTATCACGTATGGTACACCAATCATCTAAAAACCGTTACAAGGAGTATGACAAAGTGAGCAGGTACACCGAACATCAGATTCCAATTTCAGGTACGCAAATATGAAACTTGAATAGTAAAGGAGTATGAAAGAATGCCCTTCTAAAGAGGATGCTTTAGACCTTGAACATCTACAAATCAGTATCCTAGATACTATTTTGTAAAGAAGGAAATAAATGAACATTCGTACACCGAAAGTGTTCTGCAGCATTACCTCCGGCAGGTCCTTTCGGTCTCATGACGTCTCTCATGAGCTTCTCCATATCAATTTCAACCATGCTTGGCTGCGATCACACCCAAAACTCAATTCAAGCTATACGTTCTTTAAAGAATACAGATACAGCCTTGAACTAAATTAATGCATTCTAAATTAATTTCAAGGGACAATTAGTCATCTACTCCCACTTTATTCAATGTTCCACGAATTTCAAAGTTAGACATTACAATTCAGCAACCACAGAATTTCTTTATCTCGTTAAGCCAAATGTTGGAGCAATCGCACTCCAATTCATGTTCTTCAGCAGTTGGAATTTTCGTAATGCATTTCCTATCTGGCGTACGTTATTGCGATTGTTTCAATGATCGAAGAAAAACAACATCCAGACGATACAGGCTCACTTTTTCATTAATGCTTGCGTACCTCTACCAGGGACCGTGTCAAAACATCTGCCAATAGACGATCCTGCAAAATTACAGTTACAAAAAAAATACATTTACTTGATCTGTAAGACAGAAAGAAGCTTCTTTGCATTCTCTGCATCAATAAAGCCAAAAAGGTCAAGCCATTACTTTCAAGAAAACTGACTCCACCATAACCCGACAAATGAACCATCGTCTTTTCTCTAAGCACAACGAAGTTTGAGTATTGACGTAATTCTAAAGATTAAAACGAAAGTACCGTAAATTGTGATATTCCCGGAAGCTCGGTCACATCGAAACTAGAATTACTTATAGGACGAGCAGCCATATCGATAAGAGGTGCTGTACCGAAGCAGATTCGTATTCGCTCTATCATAGGCCATCCAGCCTTAAGTTTCACCCCTACCTTCGCCTAAACAACGCACCAGCAAACAGAACAGAGTCAGAAGGTGCCTGAATCTAGTAACACCACTAGAACTTCGTATCCAGGAAAAGAGTTTTAGATTGAACGTTCAATTGAGTCATAAATGCATGAAGGACACAGAATGACTAGAAAAAACCTGTTAGCTTAGATATGTTAAATCGCATTCACCTTAGAGTTCCAACGGAACCAAATGAGTGCATTAATGCCTAGGAACGTAGATGGATACCTTGCCTTCAAAACGTAGATTGCAGAGGTGAAAAGTAGCCGACATTCCCCATCCCAAGCGACGTAAAGGTTTCACATCCACGACAGCAGACATATCTTTTGCTGCCATCCACTCCATGGAAGCTTCGATAGCCTGACACTTCCAAATCAGAAATCTTATCCAATACGCAGCCATTACACTTCGGTACTGCATGTGCTCTTCTGCGAAGTGCTTCCATCAGACATAGCCAAAAGAAATAAACAAATTGCAGCAGATAGGACCGAGTTTTCCCGTCGCAACGATTAGTTTAAAGAGAGTTTGAAGTTGAAAACATTTGCACGAACGTGAGCCCAGACAACACTACACGACCATTTTGAACGACTTTAGAGAGTTTATTCGAAAGTAAAAGTCGGGACAGCAGGATCTACCGACAACTTCATCGAGGAATCACAGGTGTTGTTGCTCTAGAAACACAGATGAGTTGTAGCAAGAGTTGTGAGGAGAGGCATACCAGGTCATCACCATCAACGGGCGTGTCCAGTATGCGGATCATTGTTATGCGTGGTGGGGTATTTCCCAGAGTCAAGTTTTGCACAATCACTTTTTTCTGCAAACATGAGCCCGCATAAATATGTTTGTACACAAGCTTAAAAATTCTCTTAGTGCATACTAGTACAAGCACCTTGAAAGTGTCGTTCATTAAAATCCTTGTATGGCTTCAAAATTACTTTAAGCGTACCGCAATCCAAGGCTTGAATTGGTCTAGCATCGAGGTGAGGGGAACCAAAAGAATTGAAGTAATGTCTTTCAGAAATATGGGCCACGTTTTTTCCAATATTTGGTTCATCCAATGCACAGTCTCCCCTTCCGCAATCTGCAGGCAACTAAATTGATGAGTCTTCAAAAAGCTGGGCAATTGCAAGAATTTGTCAGTGATTGAACTCCAATTCTCACACGTAATCATCCACTGCAGGAAGGTAATATACCAGACAATTGTTGACCGCTAAGTGTATAAAGCATATATTAACGCGCTCAGAGTGACTCCAAGGTGAAACGCAACGTTTTAAATTTTTTAGTGTCAGCTAAAGCCAAGAAATACAGACACTAAGAAACCTAACAAGGAACCATAGAAATAGTTTCCTAACTCTCATAGGGATCAACAGAATTTCGCAATAATTATTACCCCTACAAACATGACCGGGGTTGTCAAAGAGGAACAGTTTTTCACATGAACAAACCCAAGCCCTTGAGAAATATATATACATATATATATCCATGACACTGGTCAAGATGAGAAAGGGATCACTAGAGCAGACAATACCCTCGTTTTATTTGCTTTCTCCCTCTCTTCGTAGCGTATCCTCCAATTTAACCTCCTCCGTTGTCGGTGCTCAATCTGCACACCTAACTTACACTTTAAGATAATCCACAACATCAGAGAGATGAGACAAGAAACACGGAAGTAATCAATGACAACAAAATCTGAAGAGATGAGAACCGAGTAAATGATAAACCCGTAAAAAAGCCCAGTAAAACTCGTATAATTTTTTTCTGCAAAGGTGTCTTTGTGTAAAGATATTGCTGATCAGCTTGACTAAGAACGAACTTGCGTTATACGAGTCTTCTCACCGGAGGGAAATTGGGTAGAACAACAAGCGCCGAAATCTAAGAGGCGAGATGAAGGGAGACATTTATCTTATCACGACTCGATGTAGGAGAGACCACCCAACCGGGGGACGACCTCTTCCAAAGCACACCCACCAGCGCAAAGGAATTTGCAACAGGACAGTGACATAACCTGGTAGAGGTAAAGGAACCCCAAAGCGCAAACGAGGGCGACATTGAGGCCCACGAAAGAGACGATCCAAGCGACCAACAGAACGAGCCCTATATGGCACATGAAGGGCCAGTCCAGCAAGTATTCCCACAGCCTCCTCCCCATCTCCAGCCATGGAAGAACCCATCTGTTCTTCTTCACGCCGTTGTCCATAGCAAAACCTCCTTTCCAATCCCCACACCCACTTCACCTGCATAGCATCAAACACACACAGGAGCGCAAAAACCTTGCATGTGATAAGCATCGTACAACAATCTCAACCTAAGTGGACCCAGAGAATCCCGCAGCATCGATCTGCAGCATCTATCAGACGTGCAGGACCCGCAACATCGACCAACATACTATACAATCATCTCCAGCTGCCCCCCGCAAACAACATCGTCCGGGTTCACGTTCCTTTCACCGCAAATCTCACACAAAAAAACATGAAATATTCGAAACGTGGTGTTTGGTAGAATAACGAGCGGTACAAAAAACGCAAATTAGGCGACACGGTGGAGCTGGAACCCAACCTGGTTCCCCACTCTCGTAAGAACTTTCTTCGGCTCCTTCGCACGGGGTGCATCGAAGTGGCCCTGCAGACTTACGAATTGCATCTCCTTCCCTTCCTCCGCTCGAAAATTCACGGACGCGTGCATGCGTTTGTGCTTTGTCGGCGTCGATTCAGCAGGATCCTGCACGTCTTGGAGTCTCCGTCTGCCTCAAGCTCCGAACACAAACACACCCACACACTTCTCTCTCTCTCTTTCTCTCATCTTTTCCACATTTATAAACACCGTTTTCTTATCCAATTTTGTTCGGAGTTGTGCCCAATCTCTTCACCATGTCACCCATTCCTCGTACTTGAAGGAACTGTACTGTTTTTTTTTGGCATGAAATCTTTGCAGAAGAAGCACCAACTTAGAAAAATGAGACACAGTTTGTAGTGTCGGTGTAGGAACATACACTGAAACTTGCAAGAACAGTTGATGGGTTTTTAGTCGAAGGTGCTTCGACCTTTGCGGTTTCTCATCTAATTTTACTCTTGAGAAACCCAGTTTGATGGTATCATTTGTATTCCTGCTCTGTGACCCCATTGCGGATATTTCTTTGTACTTTGATGACGTTCAACGTATCTATCCACAGAGCTTTAAAGCAATTGGCGTGTTCTGGCGTACAGATATTTTTGTTTCGTGTGGTAGTTTACTTCGGCGTTTGTAGTGCATGCCCAATACTGTTTTTTATAATTATTTAATTTAATTATCTTTCCTTCTTTATTTATTTTTGTATCAGAAAAGTTAAATCATTTTTTTGTGGATTGTTGGTGACGTTGTACGTGTATGTGTGGTGTATATATTTACATATGACTGTTTTTTAAAATTGATAAGTTACGTAATAAATTGATAAAAATTGGTTATTGATTTGATGAGCATTATTTATTAAATTTTTATCTATCTCACTAAATAATAATAATAATAATAATAATAATAACATACAAGATTTAATATATATACGAAAGATTAGATGAATTGTAATTAATAAAGATATTATAAAACAAAATAGCTATAAGAAGAAGTTGTCACAGTTTTTCAAAAATATTTTTTTAATGGGAATTCTGATGTGTTATTTTTTATAAGATATACATAATAATAATTGAGATCTCCAATAAAACACCATTTATTTTTGAAAATTTTAAATATATTTTTTAAATTTAATATTTATATTTCCAAAATAGAAAATGAGTAATTCAAATGTTATGTTATTTTATAATTTTCAATGTGTTGTATACCTCATCTCATGTTATGTCTACAGCAACAAAGAAAAAAATTAATTGAAAAAAGATTCTCTATGTGCAATATAATAAATTGTTCCAATTTTTTTTATAATTTTTTATATTTCTATAAATATTGTTAAAACAGCACATGACAATCTAACACTTTTTTAGATGCATTTGTACATGCTCACATAACAACCTTTTATTAAAAAACAATTTAATAGCTTGTGAGACAAGTTATTAAACTCTCAAATAAGAGATTGAAATAACATGGTCTAGGTTTTTAGGGTTTCCAAAATGAATAAAAAACATATATATATATATATATATAATCTAGTTTTGTTTTATGGCTTAGAAACGTTCTTAACTTGGAATAGTCATCCAACTATTCTGTTACACTTTTATGTATTCAAATTTTAATACTATTTTTATGTTTTCAAAATCTAGTTAACTTATAATTTGCAAAGCCTAAAATATAAATCAATAAAAAAAATAAAAATAAAAATAAATCCAATCATTAGTACTTTTCAAACAAGTATGATATTGTTTTTATTTTATCAACAATTAGAATCACATGTTGCTTTGTTCAAATACCAAAACCCTCCATACACTTTTGAGGATGTACAATCTAAAACTACACTCCTCGATAATGTCGATATTAAATCAAATTATAAAAATGTCAACAACACTAAATACTGCGCTCTTAAATTTTTCAACAATAAGTGGTGTACTATTCCTCATTTGAATGAATTTATCACAACAGTAAATAAAAAGAAAAGAAGTGATAATTTTTATGTATTTGTTTGTGCTTGTAAAGGGACAAAAATGATATATACAACTTTCCCAATTTATGCTTGTTGTTGAAGCTGCTCCTGCACAGAATGAAAACCCAATGTTGGACGTTTTTAATTTGTTTTAATAGAGTCCTAATGAGAGGGATTATTGGATTATTGGATTATCACTTGTGAGACTACATGCAATATTCATCAAGTTAACTAACCTGTGTCACAAAATAAGCATGGAAACCTTTAGGAATCCGTCCAGGCAATTCTACAACTGCCACTGGTGTTGGCCCCATTGTCTTTGCATCAATGATGATAGCTTCAGACTTCCTATACACATCCCATGCCAATTATTAGTAGACCTTAATTCCCATTTTTTTTAAAAAGAAAGAAACAAACAAAAGTAGAGATAAACATTTTTTTTCTCTTGAAGACCCATTGTAGTAATTAATTTTGTGATTATAATGAGAAGCCCATACCCTGTGTTTAAGTCTTGTACAAATGATATCAAGAAGCCATCGTCTTCTGCTGCATCATTGGCCATACCTCTGTTGTTGGGTACAAAAATTGTGTCACTTGCATAGCAATTGGGTCCAAAGTGAAACACTGTGCAATTGTTACCTTTGGTTTTGTCATCCACTGCTGTATCAGTTGTTGATGGATCCAAGTATAGGTCATACTTCACTATACCTGACATTAGATCCAATTCATTATCAACTACACCACAATAAGTGTAGCGGGTTTTCCTGGAATAGATTGTCACCCACATGGACAAAATCAGTGCAGGGACCATGTTAAGTAATGCAAACTCAACTTTGTTTTTTATGTTGTAACAAAGTGAAAAAATGGTACACTGAAAAATAAACAAGGGAAATGCTACCAATGTGTAAAGCACATGTTTGCAACTGATGCTTTTTACCTTCCTACATAATGTGGATTAATTGTAGGAAATTCAATGGATAGATTTGAGAGCTGCCTTTGGTGGACATGACCGTTTTTGAAGTTCATTCTGTACTCATACCTGCACCCCCAAAATAACATAGTGCATTTAGGAAAAGTTTTACAATGTGGGTGCCACAAAGTTGGCTTGTATTGTTAGATGAGGAACCCACTGTGATTTTTAATGTACAATAGCAAAACAATGGTATTATATGCATACAGTGTAGGAGACCCATAGGAATCTCCGTAGGCCTTGTTCTTTCTCTCCACTCCGAAGTCTGGATTTAGGTCGATACCATCCGTTCTACAGCAAATCAAAATAATCTCATCCTCCTCTTCCCATGCAGCAACTTCACACACAAGAAATTTCTAAATGTCAATACACATGAATTTACCGACAATCTGGTTTCAATTTATGCATGGATGCGAACTAAAAATACTTCAGATGTTTTGTTGTGATAGATGTACTAGAGTATATTGAGGAATTTTCAAAGAACTGAAGGTTGAATAGCATATGGATTTGAATACTAAATTGGCCTACAGTCGGAAAATATGCAACATGTGACTCTAAGACTGCATGGAGGCTCTCTGATAGAATAAATACAACTTACCAGTGTGCAAGATATAACATGTTGGGATTGTGAACCAACGGATCTGTGAATCGTCAGTTGCATATCGTGGTAAGACTCCTAGTCGTGATTCTTTATTGGGATCAAATCTGAAGATGAATCCTCCTTGCGCCATGCCCTGGAATCAGTAGTGATGCAAGGATCAAACACTCACACAACAGATACCTAAAATGGACGCAACCTAGAGTTTCGAGCACACAAGTTTTCTGTGCAGTAACGTCAGATGGGTAGAGAACTAGATATTGTATATAAAGAAATTGTATGTGTGTTTTTTTAGAACATTTTCTGGTTTTTCCTTTTGTAAGCTTAGTTATGGAGGTGGAGTGTAAGCAAATAGAGGATTGGTCTTACCAGAGGATCTAAGACAAGAGGGAGGTCCATGAGGATGGCATAGTTCTCTGTAATTGCGAAGTCATGCGTAATGGTGGTGGTTGGCAATTTTATAAGCACTGGGTCTCTGAGCACGCCTTCTTTGGATACAGTGCGGTAGATCAAGTCTGAAGACTCGGAATGGTACCCGAAAAAGAACATCTCACCTGATATTTTCGTGGCGTTAGCCAACGTTCAGGGGAGGATCATTAAGTATATCTCATGGATGGATGGATATCTATCTATCTATATATATATATATATATATATAGCTTTGGAACAAACTGTCTTACAAAAAAAACCTGTTGCAAAAATGTAGTAACACAGCACCCTTAGTGCATGGAGTACCTGTGACGGGATCAATCTTTGGATGGGCTGCAAAGGAGTGTTGTAATCTCTTGTCGAAATCTTCGAGACCCACTGTTACGAGGTCACCGTCCTCCAACACCTTGATTCTATCTGTTGGTCGAGGCATGATGTCAACACCTATTAGTACCCTCACGATGAACCATTTCTCCAGAATCATACTTAACGAAAGCGCGGGTATCATGGTTGTGTATTTGAGAACGAAGTGGATACTCGGAATGGAGTAACAGGTACGGTTGAGAGCCGGATTTGCACTTAGTCTAGCTTTTGTTAAGTAGGTGTTGGGCTTCATTACTATCGAAGAGTATACTTAAGGTTAGCGGTGTCGTTGACTTACAAGGTTTGTCTCGTTCATGTAGAGCCAAAAGTTTCTTATTATGGAAGACGAGAGACGTGTTGCCTGCACAAGTTTCAAGGTCTACGATTAAATTTCTGGCCAAGGTCACTCAAGATTTTACTTGAATGCGAATCAGCACTTCCATCGCTCTGTGACGGAGAAATAGTTCGTGTCACTTATTCAAAGCGAGCTTCCGAAGTTGACAGACGTACCGGTGCCTGCATAGCCGCTGGATACGTTCAAGACACCCAAGCTCCTCCGCAGGTTCTCTAATGCAATACAGAAATATCCTTTTACGCCCTTCATGTCTCCAACCTGCACCAAAGACAGATAAGAATAATCTCAAAATCTCTGGTGGTTACAGGATTGTGCAACGGGACTTGTAATTCATTCACGACTGGTGTGAATTTGGTGTTAGATCACATGACCTTCCAGAATTTTGGTGCTCCGTAACGCTCCTCTTGTTGCAGTCGAGATGTTCGAACATAACGCACCACGTAAGTGGCCTTGCCTTCACTCAAATGTAATCCATGTATCATCCTGCAAGGCAAGCCCGTGTTATCAGATCATGGAGTGCTGAAAGAGGGCAATTGTTGACGAATTCAGCCCCGTTCCTTATTATCTATTTGATGATTCCTGAGTCGTTTCGTGCTAAAATCCAAGTAACCGGTTTCATCATGAGAATATCAGGAGGTGATTTAGTTACCCGTCACCGTCGAACCTGCCAACGCATCAGAGCCAACTTATCAGTACTCTACTAGGTTCCATGCATAACAATTAAAATATAGAAAGGCAAATCAGACTACTGAAGAGCTGCCGACTAACAACAATACATGAGCAGGACACAACATCGTCAATCACAAGCTTGAAGGTTGTCCGTTGCAGATTCTATGATAATGATAATCATCTGAAATCAACAGTCCAGCCGACATATTCTGAACTTCTCCGATTAAATTCACTACAGAATCATGGAATAACCAGTCGAGAGATGGACTGTTGTCTAGGTTGAGCTGAATGGGTAAGTGCAAAAAATTACCAGTGGTATCCACCAAGAGCCTCGAATCTTGGGTTCGGGCCCACGCGAAAAAACTCACCGAACATGCACTCCTGCCACAACGACGTAACGACTTTCAATAGAATATATTCCATGCAATCAAACTCACTTACAACTCAGGCACGAAGAAATAGAAAGACGTCATTCGAGGAGAACACATCAAAAATCCCACTTGGTTTAGTTTGGTCACGCACAGGTATGGTACCGATGATGCGAAGGGCTGTTGTTGGTGCCCTCTCTGACACAGGAGCAAAGCTGGCCGACAGATAGTAGTTCCATTCCTGCTTGGATGTCGATCCCTTCGCGGTTTCATATATCATTTTTTCGAGAAAATCACAGAACAACGCTGCCCAGTTGATTAGCGACCTGCGCACCACGACCTTCTGCTTGTTGCTCCTGTTCTCATCCTTCTTCCTCCAGCTCGGAATCAGCGATGGTATTGATGTAATCCCCTCCGGCAGACGAATCTCTGGATCACTCACTGGATCTTTCCACTTTGATGTCCCCACCGCAGTAATCGTAGTGTGTTTATGCCGGTGATCCACCCCACTCTTCCGCCGTAGACAAGGTAGTAGACTTGGCCTTGAGACAGAAACTCGCCGCTGGAGCCTCAATCCATGCCCTGAAGACGAAGCAAGGCTGTCTCTTGAACCCCCAACAAGCTGCGGCAATTCTTGTGCCCCCACTGCACCAATGTGTCTCGAGGGACTCAGCGACTCAGCCATGGTGACAACGCTCGAGATGACTGATGGTCGCCAGTGTCAACGCAGCCTAATTTATACCCACATTCCTTCCTGATGCGGATTGAAACTTCTCCACAAATTTCTCGCTTTGCCAATTGAAATATGAAGCGGTTGTAATTGGCAACTTCAAATGCGCGTAATAGAGTCGCAACACGAACGTTTTTTCGTTTGGAAGTAGTTGAGGTGAATTACTGAATCTATAATATGAAGACAGTGTAAGGAGTCCTTTAGCTGATGTACGGCATACTGTAACTTTTTCTGCTTGTAAGCAGTACAAATATATTTTAGGTGGATGGATGGATAGCAAGGCAGAGAGGAAGAGATGGAGAGCTTCCTTGAATGATGCCAGTGAAACAGAGTTGACGAGACACAAACGGGCACTAGTGTGTTGCTTCTGATGGAGGGAATGTCTGAAGTGGTGGGCACTCACTTGTTCCGCTTTCTCAGCTATCACTAATGTCCGATTCTCCCCTGTGAAAATATCCACCCCAGTCTGTTCATCTCGCACGAAATCATGTGTTAGTGCTTGATCGTCAATGCCAATCACCCATGTCTCGCTCATGCACTTGCGATCCTTCTCGATGTGCCCAAGAACAACTATCGGTGATAGATCTAGTTAACGAGCAAGCTTAGTCTCGCAAGTTCAGGCGGTTGATTAGCATTGTGAATGTTGCAATCAAATGGTGATACTACCGCTTGAGGGACTAATAACTAGCGAAAGTGTATGTAAGCCGAACGCAGAAGCTTATGAACCTTGAAATCATCTCAAATGGTCGCGAAATCCTTCCGACACATTGATCCAATATATCATCAAACATGACAGCCTAAGAGTTATGCTGAGAATTCAAATGGAAGCGCAATGGAGATCACATCGTGAGGTGCGATACCACTGCATCTTATCTGCTGCTTCCAGTTTCCAGCTCCTTTACAATGAGTACATGAAGACTAGTGACGGGACCCAATTGACCAGAATGGTGCGATTGAAAGAAAGCGCTCGTACCTGTCATGATGATTGGCGAAGGAAGCCTAACGCGTGCAATATGCCGGGATGTGATCCTTGCTAGATGCTTCACAAAATGCACTGCACAAGGAAAGGATGGCAATGGCCACAGACAAAGTCTCTTAAAATCACACTCCTTCCAGCTCTGTGACTAGAGAAATCCGAGCATTGTCACAAGAGGACACTCCGCATGGACCTATGACGGAAGCTCTCACACTACTACCTCTCATTTATCAACCCACCAGCTGGAGAGCCGAGGTACGATTGCACAATTCACAACAAGAAATCGATGCCACTCGAAACTACACACCTTTCCCTCAGCTCACGACCTATACGCAGTGCCAAGCAATAATGACACAATGGGAAGAGAGATTTCCTCGAGTCCGTCATCGACAGGAGCAGGTGATGGGGGGGCTGAGAAAACCGGCGATGAATCGCATGGGCGCCTGGCGCTATCAGAACTCAGAACGAATCCTGAAACGTGATAAACGTTGGAGCATTGGCATGGTTTGTCGATCACGAAGCTCTCTAAAGTAGAGTCCAGATCAGCCAACCCCTCCAAGAGACTGTACCGCAGATGCGGATACCCTCCACGGTGGACTCCCACAGCCAGATAGATGTGACGACGACGCGACAAAGGTGCCGTAGCTGCGCGGCAACGCTAAACTGCAAAGCCATTACGACTCGGCGTGAGCAGATGTAAACAACAGTCGCACCTCGTCGTCCCCGTCTTCGTCTTCGTCGTCGTCGTTTTCGCTGCTGCGATACGATTTCTCCCACTTGAAAGTGTTGGCATGGCTATTGGGCACTGAAGTAAGTCGGCCGAGCAATTATCTCCAGCGAACAATCATCGTTCCGTGGAGTGCCAGACTCTCTCATTCCGGCACACCTGCCCACTCCTCATGTAGCACCGAAGTTGTAAGGTGTATCTATCTACATCTCCCCCACTTGGCAAGTGCCAAACCTGAGTTTTAGGGTGGTTTTACAACATCTAAAACAAGCATTTTTCGGTGACTGAAGGGACAAATGGGAGTTATGGTAGGAAAGTGACCTGGGGCTAAAATTGGAGAAGGGAATGATATAGAGGTCTCTTCTTAAGAATAGAGGTCTAGGATTGCAACTTTTTGTTTGGCACAGAATGCATCATGATAATCAAATATTTATTCAAGGTGTGCATGGTTTGTGCAAGTTAGATATTGCATGAAATATTGGATGTTATATGTGATATTAAAGAGAATCGAATTTGGTATTGTGAAGGCATTTGGTGTGGATTGTTACAAGAGGTGGCAATCAATATTTTAAGAGATTGAAGATTATGAAATTAAAAGCAGATTTCTCAGAGATTTTGCAATAAAAAGAGATTAAAGAGATTTTTGAAGTTGTAGCAGTATGTGAGGTGAACTTCTCATCAATGGTTTTATATGAAGAAGTTGCTGGTATCTCAAATACTGAAACCTAGAGAAAGTTAATGCATTTTTATTCATTGAAGAGATAGAATACAAACCTAGAAAGGTTGAAGGAAAAGTGGACCTTTAAAATTTTTCAAAAGAGGATTGTGAAGAAGATACAAAAGTCAAAAGACAAGACTAAAAGTAAGAACAATTAGTTTTGTGGGACTGAAGATCCTATTATCACTATATCTAAAAGTCTAATAGAAGATATTATTAATAGGGCCATTAAGCGGGTTATAGATGAAGAAATCAGCTAGACATTGTATGACACACTAATTTATGCCGAAATAAATTCTCTAAAAATACTTGTCGAAGATAAGATTAAATTGTAACTAAAGTTGTATAATTCTATGAGAATTTTCTACATCTTTATATGTTTTTATAACGTTAAGGATAAATGTTACATAAGACCAAGAACATTTCTTTTTAAAGTCCTTGCAGTTTTTAAGAATAATAAAAAAATTAGCAATCTAAAAATATGTACTGATTGTTAAGCAATCAACAAAATCATTGTTAAAAACAACAATCTACTTTCAAGAATAAATGATTTTTTTAGATAGACTAAGTATGAGCAGAAAATTAAGTCAGATTTATCTTAATTTAGAACATTACCAAATTTGTATGATAGAAGGAAACACTGATGAAAAAATAAAAATAAGAATAAAAAATATGTATAATTTTTTGTAGTACTGTCTTTTGGATAATATTTTGTACAGGGTAACTTCACCACTCTCATACATACAATTAATTACCATAAAAACAAAAAAAATTCAATTATTTAAAATTTTAATATTGTAATCTCTTCTAATATTAAAAAATAAAAACATAAAAACATAAAGATAGTTTTTTTTTCAATTTTAGAAAACTTAAATGCAATAAATTATATTTAAACTTAAGAAAACAAATTATAAATGTTTCAAAGTATGTGGTTTTTTTATTTCTTTTCTTTACAAAAGAAAATGAATCTGTTGGATAGAACAACAAATATGATGAGGTTCCTTAAGCTTAAAACAATTTGGTATTATAAAAATAAAAATAAATAAATAAATAAATTTTTTAAATATCTACAGCTTGATCAAATATTTAAAGTGCGTTTGAATGCAAGAGATTTTACATTAAAAAAGTCTTAGTCAAAAACTATATATATATATATATATATATATATAATTTAAATTATTTTTAATGCTTTATATAATTAAATTTAAAATAATTTTTTATATTATGACTCATTTGCTATCAGAAATGGTTTAAGATTTAAAAATATTCAAAAATAAAGATTAACGTATTATACTAGTAATGCTTTTAAACTTGTTAGAATTAAAGAAGATAAAAAATAAAACTATGTATATATGTATATATATATATATATATATATATATATACATATTTTTTCCTTTTATATTAAGACACTGTAAAATGAAATATCAATCTATTTGAATTAACTAATTTTACAATACATTTCAAACATATGGTATATTAGAATATTTAAGAGTATTTGTAAAACACTTATATTATCCATTGTAATGTCATCTTGATATATTATTAATAAATAAAATAATACAAATTTTATCAACGTTTAATATTGAAGATTACATTGCAATTTAGAGATAAATTTTTTTCAGCAATATCTAGTTAGGTTACTGAATTATGTTATTTCAAATCAATAGTGTTTTATTTATTCTGAGAACTTTAAACCATATCAAATCAGGAGGGATCTTTACTAATTCAAGGCATATAATTTGTTTTTAAGAATTTGTAAATGTGTATTTGATTTTAAGTTAAGAATATTTGGAAATTTTATATCAATTATAAAAGTTGGCAAGAAAAGAAAATATCATGGAATATAATAAAAAAAAACAAATTACACTTATCAAATAGTACAAGATGCTTTTCTAACAACACCATTGGCAAAACATGCAAATTCATGAAAATTCTCTTTATTAGAGAACATGTTTTGTTGTATCTTTCTTGTAATTTTCTAATACTTTTTTATACATACAATAAAATATTAAATATTTTTGCCTTTTGAAGTTATTAAAGAATTATGTATTAGATAATTTTAATATATCATAAATTACAATTTAACTGATTTTTACTTCTTAGATATTTTTTATTATAAAATTTACAATAGTAATATTTAATATTTTAAAATATAAGAATTTTATAAAAATTATCATATAATATTTGTAAAAAATATATAAATCAAGAGATGTATATATATTTATAGACATGATTAAAATCTCAATAATGTTAATAGATCTTTAAAATATTCTATTGATATATTTTGTCTAAACATTTTTTGGAAATCTGTAATAAGAATTTAGTTAATGTGACTTTAATGTGAAGTAATACTAACTGTAACTTAGTAGATTTTTCTAAAAATTAGAAGATTTTAGAAGCATTTGAAAATTTAGAAATGATAAAATATGTAATAAAGTGTATTGGTCTATATAAAAAAATTAAAATTTTAGCTTGTTACAAAATACTTTACTTCTATGATAAAATACAAAATTTCAAATTGTTATAGATATATAACAAATTTATATCTTGCAACCTAGTTTGTTTTAAAAAATCTTCAAATGTCTTTTCTGTTGCTACTAAAGCATAGTTTATATGAAATATTCTATTAATAGTTGCATAATATATTTTTAAATTTTTAAATTTTTGGAAGAAGTTTTTGATATCTATAGGACTATAACTCTCATTAACAACAATAGATTATATTAAGTATCAACCATTGCACATATTAGAAATTATAACATTTCTTCGCAAAGATATTTGTTTTAAATTTTATTTCAATTATTTTTCTAATTCTCTGTGGATTTGTTGATAATATCAAGTTATTTTCAATTGTAGTTTTTTAAATTTATTAGTTCATATTTATGTATATATATATATATATATTTTTAAATTCTAACTTCTAAGTTTACAATCTACTCATATATGATATTTACTTTACTTTTTATTTATTGACTCTAAATATATAATCATCCCATTCATATTGTCAATTTTAATATTTTATAGTTCATTTTTCCAATTTTTTAATTTAAAAACAAATTTAAGTAATGCAACTATAATATATTCGTATAAAACTGTGCAAAAAAGTTAATTATTTATAAATATTACAATATCAATGCAAAATTATTGCTTTGAAAATCTATTATCTTATGCTTGGTTATTCTATATTATTTCATTATTTCACCATATTATATTTCATTATTGTTCTACATGACATGAACAATGTCTCCAGAACTTTCATTAGAATTTACACAATACTATCAACAAAAGTAACGACTTTTAATAAAAAAACTAACTGCTGTAGGAGAATAAAAGCTTCTCATTTTAAAGGAACAAAAATTTTAAGCCTTCAATTTGTAGGTAGGAAAAAGTGAACTTCTGATAATATAAAGTGGCTTACGAGGATCTAACACCGTTCAAATTCAAATTCAAGTGTATTATGTACATCATCAATTTTGCTCATTACCAATGCAAAAATGGAAGTAAATAAGTTATAAATTGAATTTGTTATGTCTCCACGTCTGGTTCATGTAAGTAAGCACATGGGTGAGGCCGTGGAATACGGGAAAGAACCACGGCTCAATTTCTGCAGTACTCGTGTTTCTGCTTCTGTAGAGCACATATCGGGAATAATATAACTTTCACCTCACAGAATGCTCAGTTAGATAAAGAACGATGAACAGAACTACCAAAAAATACACAACCCCAGTTCAAATACTTCACTCGTCTACAAGGCACTCTTCGTCGTAAGATGATGCACATAAAGAATAATGCCGGGTTTAGTACTCACTTGTGATGCATCGGGCTGAACTTACATGTAAATCTGACAGAACCAAGAGATAGAAACAAAACCAAAGTGAGAAACGAGAGAACTTGGCACGTTCTAAAATATGCCATTCCATTCATGCAAAAAACTTTGCAAATCAAACTGCAAAAGTTGATCAAATGATTCAACATCAACGTCCCCATAACTCCAATGAAAAATGAGCCCATTCATCAGCAGGGAGAGAGCGAGCATTCTCTCGTCACATAATCATAACACAGGACAAAATGTACATGACAAAGTTGAAGGATGTTCATTGATTTTGCGGTGATCATGACAACAGAAGAGTTAAAATATGACTCTTCGCATAGTAAACGGCACAGAGAACCCCTCACATACTAACTCACGGACCAAAACAAGCATAACGAGATCGGAGACATAGACGCCGCCTCCCATCACAGCTGTCCAAACACCACGAACATGTTAAGAGACGGCGTACGCAGCACCACCTAATTAAGCGACTTCCTCGCTTTAACAAACCCAAAGCCAAAAGACCCTTCCATCAACACACGATGCTCGAGAATCATGCCCGCACGAATGCTGCAAGACATCATTGATCTTCACTGAAACCTCTGAACATAGCTCAAATGCTCTTCCCTCACTTTGTCATCCTCAAGTACTGGTACCGCGCACATAGTCGACACCTCAGACCTCGATGAAGCGCTACCAACCCACGCAACAGCTTGTAGGCAACTCACGTACATTGCTAACCCATTTCAGAGGACAATAATACAACCTCATACCCATAACAATACTTCCAGACCCTGGTCAAATAGATATTGTCCCAAAAAGACTGAACACTACCACTTCAAAGTCCTTGTTCAAACAGGTATTCACCAAGCTTCTCCACGGCAATGTTGCATTCACCAGGGGTGCAAGGTTCATCATATATCCCAATAACAAATGCGCTGTTCGTCTTCCTTATCGTGCAACCTCCAGGACCCTGTCACATAAATGAAAATTCAGTTGTTGGGATTCGCAAGTAACACGGAGAGCATCTACTGGCCATAGCATACTGAAGTATCCGCCAGGAAACTCTAATCGAGAAACGTCAATGACAAGTAGAGGTAGCATCCAAATATAGGAAATTTTCAGCATGTTTAAGCGTTCATGGGGAAGCGCAACCTACCTTCTTTCCGCGAATGACAATGCCTGGGTCACCTTGCAGAACCATGTACTTGGATCCTCCCAGAAAGAGCCCATTCTGGGCCAGAGGACTGTTCTCCTCAAATCCATTCAGAAGTTTGTCCACCTCCTCAGGGCTCAACTGCGAGATCAAACCGCAATGATTGGATAAAACTAAGTTCATCCCGGATCTTGACACCACAGAAGACATCTTACTACAATCAACAGTGCTCTCAAACCAATTCGCAAAATAATACTCTCCCCCAGGATAATCAAGCGCACAGGACATTTGTCTCAGCTCGAAGTCAATCACAATTCGGATTCCCATGCGTCGGGACTAAAAGATCATTACTCCAATTCAAAAGAGGGAAAAAGACATCTTTCAAGATAACTTCAGTACCATGGTGATCTCCAATTTCACATAATTTAGAACACAGATCTTGACAGTTCCATTCAGTCGTACTGCAAGGCGTTAGATCACTCCACTAGATCTCACATTCCTACTTCAAGACTCTGACACCTCAATTAACTTCAAAGGGCAAAGATCGAATCAGATCTCCGACCACAGATCCCTACCTGGGGGAAGTTCTCGCTCTGAGCCCAAACACTTCCATTATGGCCAATGATGGCAGCAGCTGCCAGCGAATGGCCAGGAGAAATCTCGTACATCAAGTGATCGTCAATGTATGATTGCCAAGACATGATTGCTGCCGGTTACTCCTGCTGCACAAGCTCCTAGTAGCACTCAATTGAGCCCTTAAGTTGCGAACTAAAAACCTGCACCAAAACATCCTCGGATTACCACCACCACCAATAACAACGAAAACCTCACGTCACATCAACCACCCTGACCATAATCACTGCCAAGAGTTCGCGATGCGACATCCGCTACACAGTTCGACACCAGATTCGAAAAGCGATTGCATTACATTCACCACAAACAATCAAAATAATAAAAAATAAAAAAAAACCACGGAATACTACACTGGGACGATCCAGGGGCCCTCCTTACGTGCCCTAAGCGAAAAACGACTCAGGACAGTTCCAACACCACCATCAGCGTGAAGCTACGCAAAGACATGGAGTACACTACTCACCGAGCGCGATCGGGACCGAGGCAGCAGAGTGAAGCAACTCAACACAACACAACACAGCGAGCGATACACAAACGCGGGACTATCTCAGCATAGGGGGGAGACGGGGTAATTAGGGCTGCAGAGCAGGGCCGGACACCTGACACAGATGAATGTTTAACTCGAGTATCATCCATAATTATTCATCCCAAGTCTCGATCCTTCGCCTGATGTCCAATCCTATCGATGATCATCCACCCTGACCGCGCAGTCATCCACACGTCTTCCATCATATCGATGATCATCCGTTCAAGATGGCGTGTGTTTCTAATAACGAATGATATGTGGATGATAAGTGGATGATAAGTGGATGATACAAAGTAACATTCATCGATTTGTCTCGTGAGTAGAGTGTTTCCTGTGTCTTCAGTGCCCTCTCGCTACTCAGGTTGTGTTTTTTGCTTTCGCCGTTGCATCCGTTTCGAGTTCAGCCGAATTTTCAACGTTTGCTGCGACGTTCGATACTAATCCGTCACCATGAGTACCATGAAGTTTTGTCGAGAGTGGTGAGCGCTCTTGCCTCCAACTTCCTTCATTTTTTGGGGTTTTTTTTTGACTTCTTACTGGTTTTAAGGTCTGGAACCACTTTGGAGAGCTTTCGTCCAATTGCGATGCTCACGTTGTTTGAGGTGGTGGTGCTTGGTGCGTGGCAGTAACAATATTCTGTATCCGAGAGAGGATCGGGATAAGAAGGTTTTGCTCTACGCCTGCCGAAATTGTGACCACCAGGTGAGTTGACTTGTTGACAGCGCTTGTTGTTCAAGGTGTTAGGGTTTAGGACGTGGGAAGGGCAGACGATGTGAAGGTTTTGAGGTTGGGGTTTTAGGGTAAGGTGTTGTGGAGGTGCCTGTGAGCTTGAATTGTGAAGTGTTGTTGCTTGAGCAGGAGGTTGCGGACAATAATTGCGTGTACAGAAATGAGGTGCTCCACAGTGCAGATGAGCGGACTCAGGTGCTCCAGGATATTGCTTCGGACCCTACGCTGCCACGTACCAAGAATGTGCGCTGTGCGAACTGCCAGCACGGAGAGGCAGTCTTCTTCCAGGCACGCCCTCTCTACTCCTGTGGTTGAAATTCACTTTTTTCTGCGTTTGACGATGTGTTGAACTTACGGTGTGTTGAATTGAGAGATTTTGAGGATAGGGTCTTAGTCTCCAGAGCATTTTCCAACCTTAATCAGCAAGATTTTTTTTTTGTTGTTGTGATGTGCCTGACTTCGAAGTTCGACTGAAAGTACCACAGTACAATACTGATATCCCAGTCTCTTAGTAAGATTTAGATGTCCTCCGTACCGCATTTGCATCCTCTACAACGCCTTTTCTTGCTCCAAACAATAAGTGTTAGTAATGTATGTCCAATTTGAATTGGTAAGTTGACTGAGAGGAAGCGAAGTATTTCTTCATACTGTCAGTCTATTCAGCTTTTCGTCATTCTAACTATTCAAATTGTGCGTTTAATGCAGGCTACTGCTCGTGGAGAAGAAGGAATGACGCTGTTCTTCGTGTGTTGCAATCCAAATTGTGGCTACCGTTGGCGTGATTAATGTGACAAGTGTGCCACAAGTCAGTGTCCCATAAATGACCGTAAGTTTGAGACACCTTTGTTCTGTGCATGGGTGGTCATCGCATGCTGCTGTTTTATCTGGAGGAATCTATCTAGAAAGGTTGTTATTTCTTACAATCGAATGACGCTAAGTTTTGAAGAAGGGAGCCTTCCATTGTAGTACCAAGTAGTGATCTTTAGAATAATTCTAAGATGTGGGAGGTTTTCGTTCGAGCGATGCCACAAGACCTGGTTGCGAGCGGTTCAGAATGAGTGGCAAAATTCAGAACTGGGTTTTGAAGCTTCAGCTATAATTAGAAAAAAACAACTTACGCTCTTTTCTTATTGACTGGGAGATAATGCTATGTAGTCCTCTAGCATTCGCATGGTGTGACATTGTGACATACAGAACACGGCCTTCGCTTCGTATGAGGCGTTTGTACAATTTGCAAGTTGATACTGACCCAGTTTCCCAAACATATTAATCAACAAATGTATCGTGGTGATAGACTTGGATTTCTGTGCTGTGTGTGCAATACAACAATCTTTGTGCATGTGACCGGGTCTCTTAATGCGGCCTAGTACGCCTGAATAATTCTTCAGCTTCTTGGAATCCACGGTCATTCTACAGGTGCAAGCACAAATGTACTAGTTCATAGACCCTGCATGATCTTTTTATCAGATTGAGTTATTCGATATCAAACTTCATGTGACACTTAGATCTTCTTAGGAATCTAGAATGTGTTCAACAAGTAATCTACATTCAAATCACTTGATGTGGATGAAGTTGCATTTGTTATTGGTTTTACTTCAAGTATACACAGGATTGCACAAATTCCACAAGAATGAATTTACAAAACCAAGTTGCAATCAATGAAACGAAAACTACCTTCTCATTTTGAGAATTGATACAATTGTGGTCTACATATACACATGAATGTATGTATATATGTATTATGTAGATTCTTTCATTTGGTTCACATTTTCAAGAATGACATGTACATAATAAATGATGTGTACACAAAAAATTGGTGTATTTCTAAGCGATTAATTCTATAAATCATAATACTGTTAATGAAAAGAATGTAACGCATCAAATAATGTGTATTTTGGTTGATTTGATTGTGTGGTTAAGGTAAATTATATATATATATATATATATATATGTATATATATATATATTTGAAATATTTTCGCTTTTAGTGGTATCAACCTCTTTACAAAGATGGTTTATAACGTGAGTTGTATGTTTCTTGGACTCATCAATTATGAATGATATTATTTCTACCATAATTTACTACTTAAAGTAAATTGATGATCATTTTGTTTGTAATGCAAACACACAGACCTAAATTTTTTCAAAAATGTCTTTTATTTAATTTGATATTATAAAAAAGGCAAAACACATTTTTTGGTTAGACTTAAGAGTATGCATGCTACCATGTAAGAGTAAAATAAAAATGTTAACAAGTTCTTATTTCATTCAATTTCAATCATTTTTTAGAGAAAAGTTAAGTTTGAACCTTGAAACAATAAAAACTGATTAAGTAATTTTAAGCTCAATCTTTGAGTTGTCTGAAGCTTCAGAACTTCAATGTTTATAAGGGAAAAGAAAATTAAAAAAATCGAAGTAGCATTTTCTTCAATGTGTTCCTATATATGGTATTCAAAGGTAAATACGTTTGGATTATGAAGAAAAGCAGCAAAGATCACAGCACTACGTGTCATGTTATGTTGTACATACTTTCAGACTACTTCAAGCCTTGAGAAGATGCAAATCACATGGAATATCACAAAATTCAGATGAAAGTGGTCTTTGCATGGCGCAACTAATGTTCATAAGAACTATCATTTCAATATAATCATAAAGCACAACATAATTTGATTCAAGACATAAGAATCTCACAAGACAAGACAAACTATTGCAGCCAATCTCACAAATGAAGAGGCCTATCAATGCCATCAAAGTCTAATATAAGTCCTGGTAAGGTTCAAGCCTGAGACACTGATGTTGAGAACACACGGCAATGAGCTGGAGTATGTTTTCAGATCCACTATAGATAAAATGTGTGTTGCACCAAAAAATTCCAAGATAAGCAGGCATGAAGAAAGACTGACCTCTCTGAATACAAATAAATTAGCTATACATATGATATTGAGAAGCGTGGGAGTGCCCATGATCATGCCCACCACAATGTTGGTGGTCGTGAGGGTTATGGCCGTGGTGGTGGTCAAGTTTCGAGCAGTCGTGCACTTGATAAGATTCCATATTGTAACCCCCTTCTAGGAATAAGCTATTGGTGTCAGGCGGCCGTGGGAACAGTAACTTCAACCGGTAAGCATCGACACCGTTCAGATAGTACCTGTGAAGCCGTTTAGCGCGGATAAACCCAAGGTTGCCATACAGTGTTAGAGCTCCTAGGTTCGTTACCTCAGCTTCCATAGTCACCTGCAACAAATTAAGCTCAGATCAGCATAACAAGCTTAACATCGCAGAGGAGGAATCTAGTAAAGAATATGCACTCACATTGGTTCCAAGCAAGACATATCGGACACAAAAAGGTATAATAGAGACTGTTATAAATACAGCTCTATTTGCACTCAAAATCAAACTCGGGCAATTGCACTTGAGTAGGGTTACAAAGTACCTCGTCGCATCCCGCGTCGTGCATGACTTGAACACAGCGAGTGACCAATTCTGTAGCTGCAGAACCCGCTAAATTGGATGAGAAAGGGCATCCTTCAAAGCATGACAAACAGGAGAACTCTCCCTGAATCTGGACCACCACCGATGTATAGTATGCAGCCGAAGGACGTATACATACGAACATTGCGAAAAAGAACGCTAAATTTACTTAATAAAGGTGTTACGACTCCTAGTCGGTGCCTCGGACACATTCACTGAAGTAAATGAAAAACACAAATGTGTTCCATCTTGGCTGTCGAAAGATAATGCTTACCAACGCCTTTCCCTCGGTGCTGCTTGACAACAACCAGCATGGCAATGTAGCCACGAAATGTATTTCGATGTTGCTCCATCTTGCAGACAATTGTGCCGATGCACTTTCCTTCATGCAAAGCCTGAATGATGCATGACTAGAATGAGCATATATAACAGCTATGGTAGTTTCCTACCCTAAAACATGCAGTAGGTCAAATATAAAGAACGGAACGAAAACCACGGGAAGCTGGATTGAATTCGAGATAGTAAAAGCACAAACCTTACAACCAATAATCTTGTAACAATTACTGATCTAACGAATCCATAGATTAGTAAAAAGTGAAAGCATCTGTGTTCCTCAAATTTACAAATCAAAAAGACCACCTAAAATTCATTTTCCAAGCCAAGCCACCGACACAAGACTTCAAACCAGAAACATGCCCGACATTAGCATTTTCAGCATGATCATGCGGCTTAAAATCTTCCATTCATAATGCACAAGCTATCGCATTGAGGACTAAGATGTGAAAGGGCCAACATATTCTAGAATCATCTTGGTTCATTTAGGACATATAGAGCACGAAACCGCTTCATGCTAACCAAAGCCTCGATTGTATCCAACAATTGAGTGGCCTCAGTTTTCCAACTATTTACAACAAGGGGTACGCATACAAAGGTCAGCCAGTTCTGTACTATCCCAGAACGTGTATAAATTAGAGCTCCTACCGCAAAATAATTTCATGGATGTTGCAGTCATCTTAGTTAGCAAAGGCAGAGCATCAAGCGCTGCAGGGCAAAATATAATTCACAGAAGACAAAAAATAACTCTGGTATATTCCTAGAACACCGGCGACCAACGAAAAATGTAGACAACCTCTTGTAACCGAAAATCAAATGCTCAACTCAGATAATTTGTTCCCCAAATTAGATACCAGAATATATTTCTCAAGACGCAGTGTTCAATGTCTATGCAAAAGCATTGGTCACCAAAGAAAACACATGGAGAAAACACTATTTATTCTGATACACCTCAGCGGCAGGTAAAATATCAACTCATTACAGAAAGCCCACATAGGTCTCCGAAAAATAAATTACACTTTAATTCATCATCCAACTAACTGCAGGAACTGAATTCGGACTTGCAACTAGGGTTTTGTTCCAACACCTCACCGTCCGAGGTCTCAACCGTGGCGACGAGTGCAAACAATGCTCTCTTCAATCGACAATAAAGCTCGCACTCTCGTCGAATACATTATACCCTACTCATCAAAAATCACGCTCGCAACCCACGTCGTAAATCATACAACCCAGAAGTCAAATTTCCCAGCATAAACTCATAAGACCCTCGTAAGTGAGTGAGAATTCGCAAATAGCTTACCAGGAAGCAGAGGTCAGGCCAAAGCGTAATGAAATAACGATAAGTGAAGATCGAGTAGGGCTCCGACAACTCCTGGTCAATCAGCGCCATGATGTCCGGCAGCTGCCTCTCGTCTTTGTAAGAGACATACTCAATGCGGCCGCTCCCCAAACTCTCACCACTCTTCGTCCCTGCGTCCGCCTCCTTCACTTCTGCTTCCACCATAGCGACCCAATTCTTCTAACGCCACGCCAGTGAAGATGGTGCGGTTGCTTCACTCCTGACGTGCCTCCTGCCAATCCTGAAATGCTCTGAACTGATCAACAATGGCGCGCATTCGCAATGAAAATCCGCATACCTCACAAAACAACACTGTGATGATCAGGAGGGTGTAGAAGTGATGATCTGCGCAGAGCAATGACAAGACCAAGACGAAGGAACAGAATGTGATGGTGTGCTCCGACACCGCAAAACACAGCCCCCCTCCCCCGCTCACGACCAATCCTACTTCTCCTAGAGTGAGTGAGTGCAGAGACACACACACTCTTCCTTTGGAATTGCTCATACCGAAGTTCCATCCATCCTTCTTGTTCATCCATGTCTCGGTCTTCGTCCTCATCCACAATCTTCATCCAACAGCTTGGATGATACATGTACATTGAATTTATTTAGGGAAATGTTAAATAAACCCATGCTTTTACTAAATAGATTCACCCTTGATGAAGAATATGGTAATCATGAATGTGGTTGGTTTTTTTTATTGGTTGCAGATATAATATTAAATTTTGATATAAAAGAATTTTTTTTATTGGTTGCAGATATAATATTAAAATTCTTCTTTATTTATTATTATAATTTTTTGACACAACTATAGCATATCTAGTATATTAGAGAAGTGTATGGCATTTAAGGACCTTGGACATAAAAATTTTGGCAATAAATGAAGTTTTAATATTATGAGTGGACTATATATTACAATTACTTAGTAGTTAAACTAATATGTACAATTATGCCACCATAAGGAAGAATAGAATTCCTCCTTTTGGATTTATTATATCTAATACCTAATATATTCTTGGTTGTCCATGTTTTATTCTAACTATAAAGCATGGTTTCACCATTATTAGGTTCTTTGTAAGCTCTTAATTTAAATCAAACATTTTTCTATATGAACTTAGAGTTATTATCATGGAAATAATTTTAAGTAGAAAATTTCTAAAATAATAATAAAAAAATATACAATAAATAGAAAAAAAATTAGTTATATATAAATACCACAAAAATGTACTAATATATAATAAGAAATCAAACACTCTTACTTCTTATTCTAAAGCTTAATTTTAAAAAAATAAGCCTTTTTTAGGCTTTTGAAATACTTGATAATATAAAACTTGAATAGAAAGTCAAGGACCTTGAAGACTTCTTTTTAAGATTTCTTACAAGACTTCAAACTTAAATCTCATTCTTATAGTGATACTATACTCTCCAATACATCTTAACAAAAATTAATATATTACTAACAATTGTTGTGTACCAAATATATCATGTATATATAACATCTTGTGGTTTAGAATCTATATGAACTATGCCTACATCAACAAACTCATAATAATGAATATACATCTCTAAAGTACAAACAACAATGTTGATAAACATGCCATATAGTACAAATTTAAACTTAGATTAAGTCATAGGTTAATACTTATCATAATTAGAAAGTATGTATAACAATCACACATATAAAGATGGATATGTCTATGGTGTAAGAAAAGTTAATATTATACAAACTCCATCAACTCATTAACTTTTCTTTTACCATAGAAATATCCATTTTTATATAAAGAATTAATCTAAAAGTGGTGTCAAATACCTTATATGCCATCCTATTGAACAAATATTGCATAAAATCATAGTAGTAGCTTCTTGAGCTCTTTTATATAACATGTACCTCAAGCTAGTTGGAATAATACTCAAATTGGAATCCATAATACTATCTATATGTAGCAAATGGTAAGAGATACAATTCTTGAAGTGATCTTGAATATTCTATTTTTTACTACTTTAAAAGAGTTGGATATTTTAACTCAATTTTTTTTGCTATGTATCCTTATTAATACACTCTACATAATATATCATAGCACACAAAGTCATCCAACCAAAATATCAAAAAATCTACTAAAAAAAATATAAATATATATATATATATATATATATATATATATATTAATATGAATTATATTCTATTTTTTATTATTATATATCATATTATAACTAAAGCTTCTATCAAGTAGCTATCATAGATATACTTATTTATTTCAATAATTATTTATATGATTAAGTAGAAGTAGGTAAATATAGGTAAATATAGATTAATTTTATTGTATCTTCTAAAGAAGCTTCCTAAAAGCTTCAAAGACATGGTTTTGATTTTATACATATTTGTAGTTGATTGATAGGTTGAAAATTTGGTCAACAAGTTAACTATATACCACACATATTGGTAGCTTGTGGAACAAGCTAACTATGTAGCACATATATAGAAAACTTGCCTTGCAAGTTAAAACATGCGTTTAGCAAAGTCAATATGTATTGGAGGCCTTATCGAATATTGCAACATAGCTTCTAATTAGATAGTATATATGGAGGCAAGAATAAAGCTTTCTTTTTTCTTGTCAATGCCTTTCCTGTTCTTAATTTTATTTCAAGACTTTCTAGTCTTCTTGTCTTTGACAATAGCCATTCTAATCTCTAAGTGATTTTCTAGTCTTTTTGAGTGACATAAGAGTATATTAAAGATTTCTTTCTTCAAGATTCTTGTCCTTGATAGTTTGATAAAAGTGTTAACTTATTGTTCTTGTCTTATTTTAAGTGAGTGGATTATTCCACTTCTATTGTTGTATTTTGAAGGTTGCAGACTATCCACATTTAAACAAATAGTTTAATTTTCTAACATTCATTTTTTCCTTAAAGAGAGATAATTATCCTTCTTTATAGAAATTTTCATTTCATATAAGAGGTATGGATTTTTTTTTTTTTTTTTTTTTTTTTTTTTGGAATTTAAATTTTAAAAGTTAATTAAATTGTCTATAAAAGAAAGATTATAGATGCTATTTTCACCGCAAGTGAGAATAGATTTGTAACTATTACAAATCTTCACAAGTTTTTCAACACTTTATGTCACGGCCATAATCATGTAAGCTAATAATTACATATAAAAATAGGTAGAAGTAAGTAAAAGTAGGTAAAAATAAGTTAATTCTATAATATTTAATATGGAAGCTTCTTAGAAGCTTGTTAGACGCTGCTTTGACTTCATAGGTGTCTTTAATTGACTTTTTGGATTAGAAACGTGGACAACAAGTTGGCCATGTGCCACACATGTTGTTAGCTTGAAGATCAAACTAATTATGTGACCCACATGTAGAAAAACTTGCCTTGTAAGTCAAGGCATGTATCCTACAAAGTCAACACATATTGGAGGTCCTATAGAACATCGCCACGTAGCCCCTAGTTAGATAGTATATATAGAGACAAGAGTGAAGGCTTCTTCACTCTTGTCAATTCCTTTCTTGCTTCTAGTCTAGTTTCAAGGGTCTCTAGTTTTCTTGTCTTTTGGCAATAGCCATTCCAGTTTGTATTTCAATATAAATACTTGTTTATATATATTTTGTTACCTCTCTTTGAGTGAAGGCTTTCTTGTCTGAATTGTTTTTTCATCGAGTTCTTGTCCTTGACAGATTGACAAGAGTACACCTACAATATCAGAGCTTTGTCTAATCTTGATTAAGAGTGGATTACCCCTTTTTCTTGATAAGATATAAGCATATTAGAAGTTGCGGATTACCCTCTTCTAAACTGATATTGTAATTACCATTTTCTTTGTCCTCAAGTCCTCTCTTCTATTTGTCTTGAGCGATATTAGACATCTTCTCTCTTCTAAGTGTTATCATGGCAGAACTTCTCGAAATGAAGAGTGCAATGGCACAAATGCAAGAGCAATTGAGGGAGTTAATGCTTACAATGCATCAATTCAATTTACCACCACAAGGAGCAACAAGATTGGTAGGAAGTGAAGATATAGAAATGGTTGGAGTTGCTTCAACATCTGCACCAAACCATGTCCTTTTTCCTATGGTGGAATGTCCTTCAAATGTTAGAGAACCAAGAATTGTCCTACCAGAGAAGTTTGATGGCACCAGATCCAAGTTTCGAGGATTTATCAATCAAGAGCAACTGGTGATTGAACTTCAACCCCAAAGCTATCCAACTCTAGGATCACAAGTTAGATTCATTGGTACGCTTCTTTCAAGTTCAACACTATCGTGGTTTTCATCTTTTTTTGAACGACGAGATCCAATATTGGATAATCTAGAGGCTTTTTTGGCGGAGTTTCGATCCATGTATGGAGAGCATGATGTAATTCGTGTTACAACCAATAAGATCCGTATTTTACAACAAGGTAATCGATCAGTAACATTATATGCTTCACAATTTCGACAACTTGCAACTGATATCAACTGGGATGATGCTGCACTTATTAGCCAATTTCTCTACGGATTACAATATGAGGTAAAAAAATTAATGCTCAACTTACTTGATCCTCAAACATTGAGTCAAGCAATTGACTTTGCTGTGAAATGTGACAATCGCCTTTTTGAATTCCGATCTGAGAACCATATAAGTGGACCTCAACGTTACTATAATTCAATGGCAACACCATGACCTCTTCAACACATACATTCAGAAGTAGAGGATATGTAAATTGATGCAGTATGTTTCAAACCTCTTACTGAGCAAGAAAAGACTCGTCGTTGTCAAGAAGGACTATGTTTATATTATGGAGAACCAAAGCACACAGCTCAACATTATCCAAAGAAACGATGCAATCACAAAATAAGGAGTATGGCTGTGAAAGAAGACAATATGTCAGAAAATGAGTTTGTCCAACTACAATAGGGAACGTGCGGTTGGAACCTTGCACAACATCTAGTAAAGGTTCTATTCTCTCCTCAAAGCCCTCTCTTTATTTTACATTAAATGTTATTTTAGAACCTAAACATTACAAAGTCTCTGCCTTGTTAGATTCAGGAACCTCAACGTGTTTTTTAGATGAAGAATTTACTAAAAGACATAGCATATCTTTAATAAAGAAAATTAAACCTGTTCATGTAGAAGTCATAGATGGTCGTCCATTGTCTTCTGGAGATATTACTCATGAAACCCTTCCTATAGAAATAATAATCAATGGTCATAATAGTTTTGTAGTATTTAATATTATTAGATCTCCTTCTAATCCAATCATTTTAGGTTTATCGATGTTAGAAAAATACAACCCTCAAATAGACTGGATTTCTCGAAGTCTTACTTTCTCTAAAAGTATAACTAACAGTGTAGTTAATCAAGTAGAGAGTCATAAGTCCAGTTCAATTAAACCCGTATTTATAGGTACAAAAGCTTTTTTGCATACTGCTATGAAAGAATCATCATACATTATTTATTCTACACACGTTTCTACTGGTGAAAAGACTTCAAGTGGCA